ACATTTGTTATGAGCTGACAGAATTTTAAAAATGGACAAAACAAGTGTAGACCCTTCCCTAAGATGATATATAGATGTCAAATAAATATAGGACAAGACGTTATACATAGGAATGTATAGGAATATATATATATGCTATGTATTTTATAATAAATGTTATTCTTTATAATTCATATAATTTATTCCTTATATATTTCATAGATATATTGAAATGTTATATGTAGGAAAACTGAAAATTAATCTCACAATGAAGCATTGCTACACACCTATCACAGTGGCAAAGTGTCAGTGGTCTGCATGGACACAAAGCCATGAAGAATGTACCAGAGCTAAGACAGTAAGACAGTGAGGTCCTGGTGAGCGAGCTAGGAGGAAGGGAAACCAGGCTTGGTGTATGAATGGCTCTCTGCATTCAGAAGCGTGGAAGGTACATATTTTCAAGCAGAAGCCCAAGTTCTGCAAAAACAAACAGCCCTCACATAAGTGAGTGCATCCGTAAGGTAAATGCAACACTGGATTGCTGGACTCGCCTGGTTCCTCCACGTGGTCAGGGAACTCCCAGCTGGCTGGCTGAGTGTGGGCTTTGCTAAACCTCAAACACAAGGCCTCAGCCTCAGAGAATGGTGGCTTCATCCTACCCAGATAGCAGGAGTTAATATTTTATCAAGTTCTCTCGTGAAGCACAAGTTCTCAGGGTACAAAAGGTTCTGTTTATAGGAAACACAAGTGTTCTGTGAGCAAATATACTTGAAAACTAAAGGTGAATAGGATTCTTTATGGGAAGACCTCTCCAAGCGCTCAGGATGGGAACATCCTTTATGAGTCCCTATGTGGTCTGCACCATATCCCGAATGGGTTTGGCCACAGAATGCTTTTTCCATGGAGAAGCACATTATAGCACACTTCCCCCAATTACTCCAACTATGCTTTGTCTGTGTGTTGTGCTGAAAACCTATCAGCACTAAATATAGACATTTATTGCCAGCTAGAGTAGTGTTTAAACCTATGTTACCCAGGCGGGCAACATGAAGAGATGCAGAGGGGGATGCTGGCTGAGTGTATGTGGGGGGATTGGAAATGGGGGCGCAAGCAGGAGACCAAGGCACAGTACATTCTTGGAAGAGCTGATGGTGGGTATTCTGGGACAAGCTGGAAAAGGGGGGGCTGGGGCCAGACCATTCTGAGATGCCTGATATCGGATGTAAGACTTGGAAAGTTTTCTTAAAGAAAATAAAATGCCACTAGGTAGGTGATTTTAGGTAAGGGGATGACAAGATCCCATTCCATCATTATCTAGTCCCCGTGGTTTGGTAGATGGGTTGGGGTGAGGGGGCTGAGTGTGGGGAGGCCTCTTTGGAGGGGTAACCCTGCTGTAGGCAGGAAGCGAAGTCCACCGCTGATGATTCTGAAGAGTCAAAGGCTCTGGAAAAGGTTTCAGGGATCTGGGGTAGGTTGGCTGCAGGAAGCAGGAAGAAGCAAACTGCACAGACTATCTATCGCTCCCCAGATTCTGAGAAGCACAACCTGGGGGGTGTGGCGGTACCTTTTGATGAGCTCAAATATTTAAAGAGAAAAGGGAAGAGAATCTATGCATTTTCAGGTGTCACCGGGACTCATCAAAGAGTAGGCAGGTGGAAATTCGCGAAGTCTTTTGGAGAAAAGATTACATTTTTCTCTCTGATGACATAGCGGAGCAAATTTGAAATGAATTAAAGAGTTAAATGCACAGAATGAACTCCCTTATGATTACAATGATATAGATGAGCATAAAGTCTTGATGAGCAGAATCTTTCATGAAACAAGAAAATAAATCAAAAGAAAATATGAAGGTTTAATTACATAAAATTAAAGCATGATATATGAAACACTTTATACACATTTGAAAGTCAAATGAGGAAGGAAATGTACTTATTACCTTGTCAGATAAGATCTGATATACTTAATACTAGAGCTATGTCACATGAAGGTAGTGCTGAATGCTCTAGGAAAAAAAGCAGCTAAAAGGTGGGAGTGGAGAGTCCATCCAAGAAGAAACACAAGTAACAAGAAATAAATGGTTAAAATGTGAACTTCTGTAGGAATGAAAGCCACAACACCGAGCTGGCCCCCCAGGGTGACAGATGGGACGAGGTGGTGCATGCTTGCCACTGCTGGAGGAAGTGGAGCTTGTTGCACTGGGTTTCCTTTTTCCTCAGAGAATAAGAAGGAAAACTGTATACAATCTTCTAGATCCTGAGATCCTACTCCAGGGAAAGTCATACCAAAATATAGATATACAAAGATGTTCATGCACAAATATTCCTTTTGCCAAGTACCAGTGGCCCATGCCTGTGATCCTAGCTATTCATGAGATTGGGACGTGGTTAATCCCAACCCAAAACTTCTCTAACAGAAAAGTCCACAAGATTCTATCTCCAACTAACCAGCAAAATGCTAGACTGGAGGTGCGGTTCAAATGGCAGAGCACCAGCCATGAGCAAGAAAGCCAAACCAGAGTATTAGACCCTGCAGTACAGGTAAATAAATGTGTGTGTGTGTGTGTGTGTGTGTGTGTGTGTGTGTGTGTGTGTGTGAGAGAGAGAGAGGGGGGGGGGAGAGGGAGAGAAAGAGAGAGTGTGTGTATATTTGTGTGAATTCCTTTCAGTATTGTTTATAATAGGTCAAAGTTCTCAACTGTTCAAATGTCAAATTAAGAATGGATTAATAAAAATATCATGATATAATATAAAAGACAGACTAATAACAATATCATGATATACTAGGCTACATGGTATAATATAATGGACTACAAAGCATCCAGCATAAGTGATAAAAACAGGCATGTTTCTTGATGTGGTAACACATACATAATATATGTATATTTAAGTAAAAGTTAAGTTGCAAAATAGTGTGGGTAATATGATTCCTTTTATGTTCAAGTATTGGTGAATATATTATACACAGAGACTGTCAGGAAAATTCCTGGTATCAAAATATATTAAAGTGTTAATAACAGATACTTTCTAGTAGTGCACTTTTAAGGGTTTTGTTGTTGTTGTTGTTTGGTTGTGGGGCCTGAACTCTTGGCCTGGGTGCTGTCCCTCAGCTCTTCAGTTCAAGGCTAGTCCTCTACCACTTGAGCCACAGCGCCACTTCCAGCCTTTTCTGCTTATGTGGTGCTGAGGAATCGAACCCAGAGCCTCATGCATGCAAGGCAGGTGCTCTACCACTGAGCCACCTTTCCAGACCCAATTTTTTTTTAATATTACTAATGGGATAAAAATACCTGAAAAAAAATCCTCAGGACACTTTTCCTGATACTATATTTTTGCCTCCACTGACTGACACATAAATAGCTGAGTGTGTCTATAAAAGCACTCAGCTAAACAAAGCCATCTGTGTTATCCTTGGCTGGAGCAGGCCACCTCTTGGTCCCAGGAAAACACAGGCTGTGACACAGATCAATGGAAGGAACACCTGTAACTGCTCCTCTCACAGTGTGCTTGTTAGGACCATCTCTAACTGGGCGATCAGGCTGCTCTGGAAGGGACTGTGGAAGGCTGAGGTGGGGAGGGGGCAGTGGTGGTGTAGCAAAAAGAGACCACGATGCTCACAGCACAGTGCTCCCCAACAAAGCACAGCACATGTCCTCCTGCAGCTTATCTGTCCACCTCTTCTAGAGGATATGTCCATCCTTCCAACCTCAGACCACAGGGACCCTCAGGCCTTTCTTGGCTAAGAAAACCTCTGGAAATTTTGACTTTGTTCTGCATCCTAGATGCAGAGAAAACGTTTCTGTAGAGAAAATGAAGGTTGGATTGTTTTGTGCTCTGGTGGTTCTTTCTTTGAGAATGTGAGGGAAATTTGCTCCATTTGTACACATTTCACCTCTTCTTTCAGCAGCTGACCAGCTCCCTGAAGCTGATAAGATTGAGGACTTAGAATAAAGCACCCAGATGGGCCCTTCTGGCTCACACCTATAATCATAGGCACTCAAGAGGATGAGATCAGAGGATCTCATCAGTTTGAAGTCAACCGGGACAGGAAAATGTGCAAGACTTTTGTCCCCAACTAACCACCAAAAGGCTGGAAGTGGAGCTGTGGCTCAAGTGGTAGCGCACCAGCCGTGTGCAGAAAAATCTAGGGAACCATGCCCAATCCCTGAGATAATGTTTCAATATTGGCACAATAAGAAAAAGAAAAGAATAAAGACCCCCGTGCTAGGATTGAGTCCCTCGCTCTAGAGTACCTCCCCTTCCCTTCTGCTACCACCAATTGTCTTCCAGTTGCAAAATTGTTACTTTTACGTGGTTCAATAAAAGTGTGGTAGTTGAATACAAGACACACCTGCTCCTCCTGATGTGTATTAAAACAAGTGTGCTGACAAGAACTCACAACAGATCATCTCTCATGTGTTAAAGTCATAGTTCTGCAAGTGTGTGGGGAACAAGGGGAAAGGGAGAGTAGAATGAATGGGGAAGAGAGGAGAATGCAGGCAGGAATGCACAGAATGGAGAAAAATATGGGAAGGGTAGGTGGAAGGAGTGTGAAGACGTTGAAGGATGACAGAGATCAATATGCATTGCATACACAAATTGCTGTGTTTAAATGACTATATGTGTGTGTATATACATATATATATATAACCTAAAAAATTAAGAAAAGTGAGGGAAGGGGTGCGTGAGATGGAAGGGGTGGGTTGGGAGGGGTGGGTGAGAATGTGGAAAAGGGACATTGATCAAGATGCACTGTATTCATAAACTGCTTGGATGAGTGACAACTCCTTTGTTGAACTACTTGAGGATAATAAAATATTCCCCCAAATATGCATAACTAAGAATACAGCTACAGCTCAGCAGACCAAAGCACCAAATGCTGATTTCCATTGTGACAACACAGTGGACTGTCTGAAAATTCTGCATGTGAGCCATGCCTCCTCCTGTTTTGCAATGGGATCCCTCTTCGTGTGCAGAGGACAGGAGGATTCTCACCTGGGTAACGGCAGCTTGGAGGTGTCTTACCTGTAAACCCCGGTGCACAGACGCACGTGCCGTTCAGGCCTTCGCTGTCACAGGTGCCTCCGTTCAGACAGCTGACATTGGCACAGGGGTCCTTGAACAGCTCACAATGCAGCCCTGAAGAGAAGCGACAGAAAGCAAGCGTGATCAGCCAGGCCGCTCCAGCCCCTCACCTCTGAAAGTGAAGTGTTTCAACAGCAAGGGACTGTGTGGAAGGGACTGGTGTGTGTGTGTGTGTGTGTGTGTGTGTGTGTGTGTGTGTGTGTGTGTGTGTGTGTGTGTGTGTATACCCATGAGCACACGTGTGTGTACATATACCCATTCAGGACCTGAGACGGGTATAAAAGCACACCTTATGAGAAAGTAGCAAATTACACCCTGCCCTTTAGCCCTACTTTAAATCTTTCTCCTGACTTTTTACCTGACTGTGTGTCCCAACTGCTAGACATGCAACGCTAAAATTACTTAAAGATAAAATTTTTTTCAATAGCATATACTTTCTAAGTCTCCAACAGAAACAGGAACATAGGTAGACAGGTGGGATGGAACGTGGCATGCTGGAGGATGGCCTTGTGAAGGTGAAGGTTCGGAGCGAGGAGCTCCAGTGAGCCTCAGCGCCACGTTGGGAGAGAACGTGCCTGAATCCATATTCAAAACCAAATCGGCGGAGCACCTAAGATTCACGTGCCACGAATACCATGTGTCACATCCTCACACTGCGCTGAATTTGGTCCTCATGACCCTGTGAGACAGATTCCCTTATTTCCCATTTCACAAATAGGAAATTGAGGAAAGAATGTAAGACCACAAGGCCAGGGAAGGGAAGCGCTGGAATTCAGACTCAAATCCAGAGGCTCTTCTTAAGAAATCGTTTATCTCAGACTGGCCAAGGAAATAGCTTTCTATAGAGCACAGCACCTATTTAACAAAGAACGTGCAATATAAAACTCCACAGAATAGTAACAGAAAGCTTTCTATCACGTAAAAAAGAAGAGAAAACTGCTACATCTTAATAATAACTATAAAATTATATTTAAAAAAGAAAAGGAAACTATTGTGTCTGGATTACATGCCTATAAACTCGGAAGGCCGAGACCTGAGGATCATGACTTGAAGCCAGCCCAGGCAGAGAAAGCCAAGAGACTCTGATCTCCACTTACCCAACCAAAAGCCAGAACTGGAGACATGGCTCAAGGGGTAGAGCATGAATGAAAAAGCCAACTGAGAGCTTGAGGACCTGAGTTCAAGTCCCAGTGTAGGTACAAAAGGAAAGGAATGAAAGGAAAAGGGAAGGACAAAAGGAAGAGGGGAGAAGAAATAACTATGTGTTCAACTATGTATGAAAAAGCCTCAGTGGACTGGATTACTTCCAGAATAGATTACTTTGACTATCACCTCAACATCTACTTTGTTGCCTTTTTACAATGAACATGTATTATAAGTTTATTTTTTAATTAAAAATCTACTGTTATTTGAGAGGTGGACTAGCAGCTGGTGTTGGGCTATAGTGAGAGATGTGTATGTAATAAGTGTCTGCTTCTAGCAGCCCCGCGCCCCCCTCCCACCCCTTGGGAGAGGGTGACAAACTGCATTGTGACCCAGATAAGAATGTAAATAATGCTGTGCTTGTCCTTCCCAACAGCCTCAAGAAAAAGAAGCATGAGGCAAAAGAAGCATGAAGCAAATAATAGCCGGACGGCATTTACTTCATTTTCTCTCCACTTCATTACTTGGTACAAATTGTGCAAGCGGGGCCACGCCCTGTGACACCCCCCCCCCCTGCCCTCCCCAAAGGCACTGGGATTGTCCTATCCTCTGTCCTTCGTCAGGGCCTTGAGGCCAAGGGAGAGAACTCAAAAAACAAAAACAAAAAGAAAAGAGTGCAACAGAACTCCCTAACCATGTTCACCCTAAGGACTTACTTGTGTCAGGCAGTTCAGAATGGATGGTCTTTAATTCCAGACCATCTATATCTACAGCCTCCTCTCTGCACTCGCCATAAAGACTCCTTGGCGTGGGGTGTTTCAGAATGGGTGGCCTTTAATCTGCGTCATCCCCAACCACCCGCAATATTCTGCCAGGTATTTTTCTCAGGGGCCTTTTCAGGGCTCTGCATTTTCATGGGAAAACCAGCGACCTCCCACTGCCTCAGCCTGCATCTTAGCTCCCAATCCTGCCTCCAGAGACCTGGAGGACACTTTCCTGAATTTGGAATATCAAAGATCCAACTGGGAGATCAGCATAGATCTGGCCATTCTTCATTCCGGTCCACAGGGCTTCTTCCCCCAGGGATCTCAGTTTTTACTTTCCCATTATCAAATAACTTGGACACAGCTAAAAGAATAACACACAGGAAAGCCTCATTTACCTCAAAACAAACTGTCACATTTTTGTAAGTTCCCCTGAAGCTAATCAATAGGGATCAAGTGACATGGAACAGTAATGATTTATATGCCACCAACAAAGGTTGGAAATTGAAAACTTAAAAAAAGCAGCCAGGCTGGGCACCAGTGGCTCACAACTGTAATGCTAACTATTCAAGGTGTTGAGATCTGAGGATCAAGGTTCAAAGCCAGCCTGGGCAAAAAAATCCATGAGATTCATATCTCCACTAACCTAAAACAGAAGGAGGAGGAGCTGGGGCTCAAGGAGAGTGGTTGTGTGTGTGTGTGTGTGTGTGTGTGTGTGTGTGTGTGTGTGTGTCTGTGTATCTGTGTGTCTGTGTGTCTGTGTGTGTCTATGTGTGTTTGCACACAGGCATGCACACAGCAGTCAGATGATCACTGAATTTCTGGCAATACCTTAACCAATCCAATCAGAGTAATTTAATACAACTCAGCACAAAATTACCACATTTATTTTTCAAATAAGGCTGAAAAGCAACATTTTGGGCCAAATAGTTAAGCATTGAGACTTGAACATCTTCAACAAAACAGATTTGATGAACATCCCAGATAATACTCAATTGTCAGCATGTTTGGGCTTTTATTTTTATGGGTTTTGGCAATAACTGTATCCCTTGTAATTCCTCTCTTTTTTTAAGATGCGATATTCCGTCACTTGAGCATCCATTGAGAGTTTTCTGGCAGCATGACCACACAAAGGACATCTTCACGAAGCCACGGTTATTATGGACCACGATGGCCTTCGGGTCCCCCAGGATGCACCACAGTTACACCCATCTCTATATTCTGAGCTGTGCAATCCCCACACAAGAGAACAGATGTTTTTCGTGTTATTCTTCTGATCATCAGAGGTGAACAACTATGAGGCAGAAGCTTATTACAGAGCAGACAGCCACAGCCTCTGTGTGCCCAGGTGCTGCCTCTCCACGGCCCAGCATCCCACCTTCCTGCATTCCTCACTGAGCCGGGGAGACCCAGGCACTTGGCCAACACTGTCCTGGGCCTTCTGTTTTTACAGACAACCATGCCATTCTGTGCACTGTTCCCCAGCATAGATCTCGGCTGGCACACATGAACTCATCCGTGGAGTGGCTCTATGACTGTATCCTCCTGGAAACACTGAACCCTGCCCTTTCCAGCTCTGCCCATCTGCCAGAGTGCACTGACAGCTCCCGGGGATTCCCACTGTTACAGTGGGAATCGCACTTTTGCTTTTGTCCTGTCTGATTCCTCCACCATCTCTGAGGACCATCAGTGCCCAGGCTGTATCTTCATGCATGGAAGAAATGACGGCTGTAACTCCAGAATCCTGTCTTTTCAAAGGAATGCCAGACAGCCGGTGTACTTTGGCTGACACACAGGTGCGCTTGCCAGAGGCCTAGAAGCCTTTCCAAATTCCAAATGGGCCTCACAAACACCCGATTTTGTCAGGGAAAAACCAGGTCCACACTCAGACCGAGTCTGTAGAATGACACATGGCATCAGCCACTGGCAAAGACACAGCATGCACGATTACAAAACTTATGTTTAGTCTCAGGCAAAAATAAACTGTAATTCAGTCAAAACTAATAAAAATTCATACTTTTCATATTAAAGGGTAGCAGAGCAGTGTTTCTCCAAAGGTTTCTATTCCAATGAGGCTATTGATAGAAGTAAATTTAGAATTAAAATGAGTAAGAATTCAAAGAGCAATGTATCAATTATAAACCTCTGTTGTCACCAAAAATAGTCACAATTAGTATCCGAAAAGTGAAACAGCGCTACCATTTCTACTTCAAGAAAAATAAACCAGGTAAAGAAAATTAGCTGCCAGAAGGTGTTCTTTGTCCTTTTAAGATCTATATGGAGAGTCATCTCATCTGATTCAAACTTCTCCATGAAAACTTTCCCAAGCACTCCAACTGTCTTAGGGCTGGACATTTTCAGGATGTTTCAAAAGTGCCGACGGACACATCTCAAGCTTGGCTTCGTTGTTCCTTGAGAGGATCAGCCTTGCTCTGTTCCCCCAGGGAAGTAAGAAGAAGAAAAAGGAGGAAGTCTTATTTGCTCTTGAACCTACCACAGTCCTGGAGAAGAGCCAGGCACACAAAATGCCCGGCATGCTTGTTTATTAGCAAGTAGAATGTAGCAAGGGAAATAATTTCATCCAACAAAGAATTCTTAGCCTTTCAACTATAAATTTATGTAGTTCTAAAGACGAACAAATGAAGTACAATGTGATCAAACCTTTTACGGGGTGATCTCATTTCTGAGATGGCATTGCCTCCAAAACAATCCAGAGAGTATGAAAACAACATGAATAAAGATATCCACCATAGAGTTATTTTTCAGAGCCCCAGGGCCAGCACAATCAGTGAAAGCAATCAGATGATCTGCTTATCAAGAGGATGGGGAAATCCCCATGAGAGCATTTTATACAACCACTGAAAAGAAAATGAGTACGAATTGCTAGCACTATCTAAATCAAACCCAGTCCCAGATTAAGTATGGGCATGGTACAAAATTGTGAGCAAACTATTATTGCTGCAAAAACATGGACAGGCCTTCATTTATGCTGGACATGCTCTCTGTTATGGTATAAAACTATAAATTTTTCTGATTGAAAAATTTGATTTTAGTATGTTACTTTGCTTTTCCTTCTTCCTTTTTTTCTCTTCCTTTTTACCTTCTTTCCCCTTTTTTTTTCTTTTTTTGGCAGAACTGGGGCTTGAA